TTAAAAATCTGAGGCTAATTTGGAAATTTTTGATATTTTTTTGTGGCTAAAGTGCCTTTTGGGTTCAGATAATTAGTACAACATCACAAATAGTGTTTTTAATAGATAATATTTGCCTTTAATTGATGGTTAAGGAAACGCTCCCTGCCATGCATAAGAATACGACTCTGGCTCTATTAAGTGGTGTCATTTCTTTTGTTTTTTAATAGCATGTTTCTCAAAACCGATTCTCTTTTTCTACTTTTGTGGCTTCTGTTGCAATCTGATGACGTTTAGGTCAAAGTTTTGGAGAAACTTAGAAATTCTGAACCTTTTAAGCACAACCGTATATGCTTGAACGGTTTCCTTGGACTTCAAAAGGGTTCCTTGAACTTTACTTAAATATTTAAATTTATGTTTTTTAACGGTAATAAAACCTTTAATTATCAAATAATGTCTGTTTTGTTTGGCTGCAAAACATCGATAGGTTTTTGGCATCGTTGGATTTAAGGGGCCACCTCCATTTTTGTCTTTAACTTTCTTTTTTTTTTTTTGTCCAGTTAATCCGGGATGTTCTGAGCGTGAGCGAGATGACTCTGAGGAACCCGTCGCCGTCCTGCGTCGGTAAATATCGAGCTCTGAGGTGCAGCATTGAAACGGTTCCCCCCAACGGCGCCGAGTTCCAGACGGTGACCAGCCTGCTGCAGGACGGGTAGTTTAAACTCACCCACTGTCAGAGATCTGGAACTATCTGCACCTTATACACCTCTATTTATTTACTCAAACGACTGCTTTGCAGGAAGCTGCAGGTCCAGCAGGTGTTTCGTATCAGCAGACCGGTGGAGCTTCAGACCTTCAACGCTGACATCAGGAACGTCAAGCCGCTGCTGCACTCGTCCAGTCCCAGCAACTTTGTGGGAATCCTGTCTCGGTGAGCTCGAACACCGGAAGCCTAGAATTCACATGAGAAAGTCGGATGCTTTTATGTATTTATGGTGAATTTCTCTCGTTGGAATCGACCTACTTCTGCTTGAAACGCTCTGAGATGTAAGCGGAGGCGATCCGAGGCCGACAAAGTGAAACTGTTGTTGAATAATTCCACGTTTTTGTGCACAAACGCTGATGAAACTAAACGTCTTACATGAGAAACCGTCTGCAGGGAGAAAAAAACGCACCACCAACAGGACGTTGTGTGTTTGTCTGGTTTAGTTTTGATTGATCGATTTATCAGTTTTCATACATAATGGAAGGAAGAACATAATTAGGGATGATTAATATGCAGTACAGATGTTGGAAGGAGTTTGAGAACCTTGGACAGTTCACCTCTTTACTACACTGAATTATTTGCTCTTTTTGTTGAAATTGTCATTGGCTTTACTCTGGATAAGTTCAGTTCAGACTTTCCAGCAAGCTCACATCCTTCATATTTGGTGTGGGGCTTCAAAGTTGAATCTTTTATTAAATATGTTGCTCAGTACTTACAGGTGGGATGTCTGTGTGTGCGTTTGTGGCTGCAGGGTTTTGTGCTCTTCTTAACGAGCTCCTGATTCAAACCATAACAGGACAGAAACTGAATTTTCAGACTGTGCTGAGCTGAGTGTCGTGTCTCCTCAGAGGCCTGCTGCTGCCTCGCGCTGCAGTCGAGCATCACGGCATCGAGAGAACCGACGCCGGCAACCTGGGCAGCGGAATCTACTTTAGTGACGCCGTGAGGTTTGTGGCAAATCTGAAACTGATGAGGTTCATTTCATGCTCCGCACAGAAGCTCACATCGGTCAACTTGATTTACAGCTAACTCTTTTATTGCAGCGACACATAGAGAACAAAGCCCAAAGCAATTTCAGGAAGACGATATTGCAGAAGGGAGCCTGTGTGTGTCTTAACGATGCCATTTTATTGTGTGAGAACCCAGAAGGCAGCAGCTCGGGTCATCTTCGCTTTGCTTGTCTTTCATTCTCCGTCCGCAGAACCTGTTTGAAATACTCCAAGCCCGGCGAGACGGACGGATCCCGGCTGCTGCTGGTGTGTGACGTGGCGTTGGGTCGATGCAAAGACGTCTACAAGCGAGACGTCGCTCTGACTCGAGCTCCTGCAGGTCACGACAGCGTTCATGGAGTC